GTTTATCTCAAAGTGAAAGCTTTCCTATCATAAGCTCTAGGACATAGCACATATTTAAACTCTTTAGCTATAGGGTAGCTCTTCACAACATTAAAAGCCCTTTCATGAATGATACTAGTACAATACTAGTACAACATAGTCTTCCTCTAATCATTCCTGATCCTTCTCTCTTGAAGATAATCCTCAAATCCTACATTCTATAAATCCTGGGAATATCCACCATATTTAGCAACTATACTTGATTACCATAAGCTATTGTGACTCTGAGTCCTCATTTGGGTCCTCTTCTAGAGGGAGGAAGCTACATCCTAACTCTAATCCAGTCTAAATGTTACTTTAAAGTCTTTTTTGGGTTCTTTCTTTTTTAATAGTTGGGTCATTATAACTGGACAAGAAATTATTTCTAAAAATTCTAAAAAATTTAGAAACAAAATGGGTACTTTGGGTTAAACATTGATTAAGGTCTAAAATTACGCTAGATATGTTAGGCCGAGTTTATTGGGCCTAACGCCAAATAACGAATCTCTATTTTTGAGCAGGAGTTGCTTCCAATAAGAAAATACTTGTACTTATTAAAAAATGTAGGCCTATTTGAATTCTTTTCTTAAAAACAATTGCTTAACGATAATTTCCACTAAGTGTTTAAAAAAAATAAGCTATTTTTAAAAGCAAAACACTCAAAACAATTTTATATGTTTTTTATTTTTTATATTATATTTTGTATTTTTCCTAATTGCTCACCGGTTGCTGTCACCACTATGTCTCTCACACTCAACTTCTTGATAATTGGTCTGTTTCTATGTTGTCTCTCAATCCTCCAACTCTCAATTCGTCATCGACACCCTCTCCACTCTGTCTCTTGCCTTCTCTCAGTTTCCATCTGACATTGACAATCTCTCTTCTTCTCTCAATTCTCCAAGTTTTTAAAACTACCATCAAAACAAAATTTTGTTATTTCCTGTTTTAAAAGATAATTATAAAAACATAAATCAAGCAATGCCTAATTTTCTGAAACTCAATCCTAACCTCACCTCAATCGCAAAATAAGAGAGTCAATGGAAAAATAAGTGACTTCTTTCATTTGATCCTTCTTTTGCACTGTGTAAACACAAGGGAAACCAATAACACCTAAACTCTCATTGTTCTCACAACTCCTGGAGACTCTTAAAGACTTACGAGCTTGTGTAGCCAAGGACACTAACATAAGAGAGGTTTTATGTAAGTGACTTTGTATGCCATTCTATATCAACCTTAGATACAGGTCCCTAGTCTGTGCTGACTTTTAGGTGCCACATGGCCAAACCTATCTACACCTTAGGTTTATAAGTTCTATGTTTAGAAAGTGCTCGTGCTCATTAATATTGAACAAATATAATAATATTTAAGTCTTTAGGATTGTCGAAGTCCAAAAATAAGCTCAATCAACACAAAACACTTTCTAAACATACAACTTATAAATCTTTCCGAAGCTCCATTAATCGAAAGTTAATAGTTTAGGAGAAATGTCACCAGAAATAATCCTAAAGGCCTAAACCATAAACCCTTCTAGTAGCACTCCAATTAGAATAGTTAATAAAAAATATTTAGATATGCAACATAGTGAACGAGACCTAGGTGACAATATATAACTAATCAGCACATAACAAGAGAAGCTGAAAATATTAAAAACCATAGGATAAGACAAACGCCTCAATAACCTCATGAGGTGTCAAGTGAGATAGTTAACAAATTTCAAGTGTATAAAGAGATAACAACAAGGAACAATCAACAAGGCCTCACTATAAAGGGGGCAAATACACAAGCCATACAGGCCAACCAATGTATACTAATGGTGACCTGGACACATGGTAAAACAAGACTCATCTTAACATCCAATCAATTGCCAAAACCAATGGTAGGGATGTAGCAGATTTTTATTCTTGTGTATGAAAGCTTATTGGGCATTTCAGAGAACAACAAATGGTTACATCATTTCATGGTGGATTGGCGAATTATTGGCCCGAGCTGGATTTAGAGTCCGTCCCGTTTACCGCTCGAGCATTGACCGAGGAAAAATCAATTTAAGTACTTATTGATAATCCACGATCAACTTCAAAGGTATAAATTGTATAACACACTTTCCAAATTTCTCATTCACAATTCCACAATTTATAACTCAAAAGATATATCAAATATTATCGAGTTCTAAATAGCATTTTATTATCTCAAAATATGAAAATACTCACAAAAAGCATATTAGCACATATAATCAGTGAGTGAGGAAAAGGATAATTTACTAAAGATTACTCCAAAAGGTTTGTAGATAGTAAAGGGGCCTAACTTCAAAAATTATGTTCCATACATTTCCAAAATTTGTAAATTAGGATTCTTTAAAAAGATTGATTTGTTTATTTTTCAAAACAGAAAGAATCACTAAAAGATTTTTTTTTAACCATTTAAAATTCTCAAATCCTAATATTGCTCTAAAATGTCTAAATATATGACTGTCAATCATCCTTAGCGTTTCTAAGCCTTAATTAATCTCAATAAACACTACTGACCTTTGAACATAAAATCAAGGCTTAACCACAGTAATCTATTATAGCACGCATGCCTCTACTATTTGTTTAAGCTTTTGACATGGTGGTTAGTGTTTCATTTTTAAGATTACGCCCCTTTTAAGAAGTCAAACAAGAAGACTTTTTAGAAACCTGTGTAAAAGACAAAAAAACTTTCTTAGCCATTTAAAATTTTCAAATCCTAATACTACTCTAAAACATTTGGAAATATGACCGCCAATCATCATCCTTAGTGTTGCTAAGCCTCAATTAATCTCAGTCAACACTATTAACTATTTGAACATAAATCAAGGCTTAACCATACTAATCCGTTATAATGTGCCTCTGCTATCAATTTAAGCTTCTCACATAGTAGCTAGTGTTTCATTCTTAAGATTACAAATTGCGTATTATGTTCACCCCTTTTAAGAAGTCAAACAAGAGGCTAAAATACATAATATGATTAGTAAGCTAGAATTTGTGTTTACCTAGAAAATATGGAATAAAGTAAAGATTGGCTGAAACCTTAAAATTTACAATAAGTTGACAAGATTCTTACAACTTAAAAGAGCTAATCCATCCTGAAACCCTAAAGTTTAGAATAAGTTGATAGGGCTTTTGCAGCTAGAAGTCCTCAATATCATGCCTTAAGCTATGTAAAAGGCTTTTAGCATAATGGTTAGCTACAATAAATGTAAGGTGTGTTTTCCGTAACTGTCATGACTTTGACTTTTACCATAAATGTAAGGTGTGACTTAAACTTTTAGCATAATGGTTAGCACTTTGTTCTTAGGGTCTAGGGAATTTGTTTAGATGAAGAAAATCTTCACAATGAGTTGACAAGACTCTTGCATAATAAGATTCATACTCCAGACCGATGCTATAAACTTTTAGTATAATGGTTAGCAGTTCATTCCTAAGGTATGTATTATCCCATAAAGCATCATGTTTGCCTTCTCGAAGGTCACAAGGGGACCTTTTAGAAACCTGTGTATAATATCTTGGAGCTTTTGGAAGATACTGAGTAAAGACTCAAAAACTACATAAAATATTATCTGCTAAAATCCTATGAGAATTTGTTTCCAGATCCACAGCTGAAACATTGGCGTAAGATTATCAATGGGGGACAAGGATCAAAGACACAAAATATTCTTGAAATGCCTTTGCTGATAATATTACTCTATTTGCAGGGGCTTCTATGCACAAAGTTAATGTTATAAACGAATGCATGACCATTACCACATTTTGCAAGTGCTCCGACGTGATAAAGCTCAGTTAGAATATAATCTTGTAAGAAACAAGATGCATTGTGGGTGAAAGTAATTTGGGCAGGGTATTAATGGAAACAAGCATCAAGGTAACTCTGGGAACGTAAAAATTGGGTATATAAATGCCTCAAATGAATATGAGATTGTAGCAGGGAACTTCAATGTGAAATTACTGTATAATGCTATCCTTGAAGATGATTACCACAACGATGTTCTTGATAAAGCTCTACTAGAATATAATCTTGTGGGTGAACGTAAAAATTGGGTACCTATCAATGGCTCAAATGGGACTGTAGTGGGAAAACTTCAATGTGAAATTAGTTTATAATGCTATCCTTGAAGACGATTACCACTACGATGTTAACTAGGATGCCCCACAAATGTTTGATGCACTTGGCATGGAAAGTGACAAAAATATGATGAATCCTCCGTGATTGCGACAAAAAATTGTTCAACGGGCATAGTCACTTTTTTAGGATAGATCTTCAAGAGTGGTGTGAAAATAACAGGACATTTGAAAGGAAAATTCCTTTCACCTTGAGGCGTAAGCAGCTGCAGCACAAAAGATTTGACAATAGTACTCACTTGCTTAGATGAGTATGGTCATATGGTTTTTTTGCTAATAATTGTTATTATTCACTATGTTGTTACAGTCATTCATGATTAATTGTTGTTATTCGCTTGGTTGCTAGAGTCATTTTATATATCTCAAAGCTTAATAGTTATTTGCTCCGGTTGGCAATGGTGGCTTCTAGGGAGGTGGGAGTTTTCACCAAATTCCAAAATTTGGTTAACATGTTCTAGCTCAAGTCACATATAAGTCACGAGCCGGAGTTTTTTCTCCTTGTATCCTAAACCTTATCCTATCACAATTTAAATATTTAAATCCTTGTACCTAAAATTTCTCTTCTTGACTAATGCTGGCTGGCCCATCACATTAGTACACACCCCAATCCTGACTCGTTAGCTGTGACACAAGTCTGCTTAGGTTTAACCCACGCTTCTCATAAGCCTAGGGCGATAAGGCAAGCGGAGAAAAGTCCCAAACTCTCTCTTAACATGCCTTTCATGTATAAAGAACTATATAAGCCTAGTGAGCAGTAAGGCAAATGAAGAAAAGTTCAAAACTCCTTGAACACTAGGACTTTCAGCAATCACCAGGGAGAGAAGACAAAATATTATGTAAAAGCTAGCTTCTAAACATACCATTCAGATATAAAACCATAGGAAATCAACATACACAAACCCAAGTTAACTCTGGACGTTATAAATGGTTATCAAAGTAAGAATTGGAGATGAGCTTGTGGCTTGATGAAAGAGTAAGCCCAAAGTCAACCCTTAGATCCAACACTCCAAAGCTAATTCCAAAAGCTCCAAGCCTGCTAAAATAGCGAATGTCACATGATAAATTGAAGAATTAGCCACTACCATATATGCCTTACCAATTTTCTAAATTCCTTTTTTTTTTTTTTAATACAATGGAAGTAACCAAGTTTCTAAATTCTAACCATGAAGGATTCCAAGGTTTAAAAAGAGAGAGCTCAATCTTGAACTCAACCTTATTCTTAAGCCTCACTCAAATCCTTTCTCACAAAGAGAGAGCTACAAACCAAACTAGCAATAAAAACATAAGCATGCCTTATGCTAAAATTCGAATCCAATATTTCCTCATGTTACAAACATGAAACACCAAAATACCAAGACCCATAGCTTGAGATGGCCTCCCAACATACCAAAATAAATGCTCTCATCTTTGATCCCCAACTAAATTTTTGCATAGGAGAATAAATGAAGGGGGAGAAGAGCAACATACCTTCAGTTTTGAAAACCAAAGAAATGGCACCCTTGAGTACCTCATAGAGACCTCAAAGCTGCTCCTCTAAACGCTACCCCTTTCCTTTCGTTTCCGTCTGGTTCCAAACTTCTAAATCATTATTATTTATTAGTATATCATAATTTTAATTAATCACAAATGATATGAGCTTATTGACTACGGTTTCAATGAAACCAATTTGCAATTTGTAGCATTCTAGTATAAATAATAATTTTTTTGGGATCTTGGTATTTACTTTTTCTGTAGCGTAGTGCTCAAAACCCCAACTTACAAATTACACATCATCAATCAGTCATGTTGATGTTCATTTAAATTAAAATCCTTAAATAGATCCTATGTAATGCATATTGGTTTCATCCATCACCTTGATAACAAAAAATACAAAAACAAAGAAAGCAAACAATTCCAAATTCATACGCCAACAAAGCAATGTCAATGTTGCAATTAGTGTTAAATGTGTACCAGAACTATGCTTGAGATTCTCTTCCATTTTATTGCGGATTATTCTCTCCCATTCCAATTAAATCAATATAAGCACAACTGGACATGTTATTTGAAATAGCATAATAAAAGAGATCAGCATCTCTTGTCTATTCTCTCCCATTCCAATTAAATCAATTATAAGCACAACTGGACATATTATTTGAAATAGCATAATAAAACAGATCAGCATCTTCTTGTCTGGCTCTGATTTTCTTTTCTGTAACTGATACAGAGAGGAAGTGATTACTGGATCGAATTCATTTTCGTATAGCCTAAGTGAAATAGAGAAGGGAGTTCGACTTTAGGTTGGAGTTCTGAGTTCAAGGACATTTACTAAGAAGGAAGGGATTGGGCTCAAGCCGTTGCTTGTTGGCTCACTAAACTGTCCCACCGGAAAAGAGGAAAAAAAGACTATCTATCCTCATAGTAAGCCCAGGACAAGATTAAGAAAGTAAAGTATACATGTTTTCTGGCACGAAGGTGAATTATAATCATGCAATCAAATCAGTTCATTTCAATTAGCTAGACCGAAGGATTCTTCCTCTTGATTCACCGGAGGTGAATAAGAAGAAATCCAACTAAATCGGAATCAAATAAATCCTATGATTTATTAATCAATATATATTCTGATTACGATCCTGATAAAGGTAAATTCATGAAGGGGATCACTGAGACAGCGGCGATTGAAGGTGAAAATTCAAGAAGGAAAATCATACTGATGCGGGGAGGGAGGAAAATTCAAGAAGAATATATATTGATAGGGAAAGGCAATGGGAAAATGTTTCTAAATAGAAAACATATCGACCGATTAATTTACCATACGTAACACGAAGCAATCACTGAAGACAAATTGCGATATACAAGCATCCTGGATCATTGCCTATCAGGATCTAACTAAGCAAATGAAAATCACAGCGCTTGGGTTCCGCTGGAACATTTCACAAGAGCTAAAGACGAGAAAAATTGCGTACCGTGAATTCAGGAATCGCACTATAGATCGAATTACGGAGGTCGTCTCAAATAGAGCGCAATCCAATTCCTTGTTATTCGAGCAGCTGAACACCGACGCAAGATGAGTTTCGACCACTGAAGAACAAACGATCGAAGCAAGCAGAGGAACCAAAGTAAGAAAACACGAACAATACTAATAGAAGCCCAAAGTAGCCGTTGCAGAATAGTTCCGTTACATTTACGCGGCTCTCGAATGAGAATTCAATCGACCAGCTACGTTGTGGAGCTGCATATGAAACGGCTGATTTGCCTTTATTTTTCTCTTCTGTTTTTTTTTTTTTCCGGCTAACACATTTGCCTTCATTTTTGGGCTGAAGAAAAGAATTTATTATGGGCCTCCAAATGACGAATGATGGTTTGCATTTTTTTGAATGATTAAAAAATAACAAGAACATATGTTGTAAGCGGCCATAGTAGATGTAGGTCCATGATCTGGAGAACCGCGGCATGCTAAATATTTGTCTTATTTCTTTTTTATTATTTAGGTCTCCGGCATTATTATGCCAACTGACAGATATATATATATATATATATGTATATATATATTATTTCTTCTATCTTTAATGTAAAATCTAAGTAATTAATTTGAATAGATTAAAAATATTAATTAAATTAGTTAATATGATATGTTTGTTTTAAAAACCCTAATCATTTTTTTTAATTCTTTTCTTCTTTCTTCTACTTAGTTATTGTTAAAAAATTGTCAATACGGTTGTTTTGAAAAAAAAAATTAATACACATATAAAATAAATCTTATATATAAAATCAATAACAATTCTTAAATTAGTAGTAGCTTTAAACATAGTCCTTTACTCCGCAACCTCTAACATCCTATAGGGCCTCGATGTCCAGCACAGGTCTGCATCTGTAACTTGTTTATTTTCAACATTCAATAGATCCACAACACTTGATTTATACCTCATTTGTTATGATAGAAGAGTTTTTTTATGGAAGTGGAAGGAAAAATAGAAGTAGAACCGGAAATGGAAGTGGGTTCTAAAATATGTTTAGTGTGAGGGTGGAAGTAGGGTATAATTTTTAATTAAAATATATATTTATATTGTGAAAATACTAAAATATCCTCATTGGAAAAAAAATCTGCTCCCGTCGTCACGACCATCCGCTCACGCTTGACCACCGGTGTTCACGGAAAGAAATCGTCCATTGCCGGCGATAGTTCATCAACCATTAAACAATTAATCCAAACTCAATAACCAATCCAAGCAATATATAAATCAAATCCAAACACAAATATCACCCATCAACACAAAGGGGGGAAAAAACAAAGAAAGAGATTGAGAAGAGAGGTATTGTAGAGTCTGTGAATCAAGAAAATTAAAAGCTTCCATGAGGGAAAGGGAGGGAGATGAGGACGATGGCACCAATGCTTCTCAGATATGAAGCCGCCACTCCTGCGTCTCAGTCCGTGAATCACGACCTCTCCCCTCCTGCTCCTAGATCTAAAGTCGACCGAGAAAAAGATGGAGATTAAAGAGGGATAAAGCTGCAGAGGAAGAGGATAGGACCTCCTACTCTCAAATTCCAAGTCAAAGAAGAAGAAGAAGAAGATAGAGATTGAGGGAGGGTGCAACAGAGCAAGAAGATGAAATTAGGCAACGAAGTTGAGGGAGATGGAGGCTAGGATCGCAGAGAAAGGTGACGAAGATTGCAGATCGCATCCTCACCGCCCGCCGTCGTCCTCTGTTGTCACTGCAGGTGGAGCTGAATGGGACAGCCGTCACTAGAGGTTGCTAAAGGGGAAGAAAGAAGGGTCATATATGAGGGGCGAACTTGTTAATAGATAAAAGAGCTGAGGGTATAATTGTGAGAAAATCTCACTTCCTAGAAACTCAAACCAGTTACTTGGGGGAGGCCATGGAACCCAATTTCATCAATTTGATGGACTCATGGAAGTGAGTTCCTTGTGAAAGTAGGTTCTATTGTACCAACCATGTCAATTTTATGATTCCACTTCCACTTCCACTTTCCCACCCTCAATTCCAATGCTCCAAACGAGGCATTAGTATTTTTCTTCCATTTCTCATTTTAGTACTTTTGTGGTTTACATAATGTTCATTCCAAGCCCATGTATGATGTATCTTTATATTCTCTCTTTTATCTCTTTTTCTTCCCATTCATGATTTTCTACATGTATGAACACTTGCATCCTCTGACTGACTGTTTAATTGAGAAGTGATATATTAAAGATTATATTAGTTCCTCTTTCACGCCTTCTAGTTCAAGAAAAACCCAGATAAACCAGAAACAGTCATTAATGTCTTAGTGGAGAAAAATATCTAATGAAATGTGAACTACTACCTCCAATCCTTAATATAAGATTTTATTTAACTTTTATTTTGATCCTAAATATAAAACTTCAGTCTACTTTATCTCTCATATTTATGCATTTTTTCTCAAGATAGTCATTCTAACAATAATAGTTCTAAGCAATACACTTGATTAATAAAGATATTTCAGAAAAGACAACACCTATTTATTAGATTACTTTATCAACAGATTAAAGTACTTTTTACCAACAAAGTACTTGGCATTAAAAGCATAATTCAGATTCCGCTTTTCTTTATATGAATGAAAACTTTTACTTTTACTTTCACTTCTGTTTATTATATATTTTCATATCTAGCAAAAAATGTGTTTGTGTGTGGGTATGTACACAAAGATATATATATATATATATATAATAATCCAGTTGCTGACATTGTCTTTAAAGTTAAAAACATTTATGTTATATAATAATATATACTCCTTCCAATAAAAAATATATGAACTAAATAATTAATTTGTAGAGATTAAGAAAATTAGTTAAATTAATTATTTATAAAAAAAATGTGCTGGTTTTTCTAAAACAAAATTGAACATGCACTTTATTTGCATCCTTATTAATTTATCTTTTACACTGTTGTTGTGACCAATATTCAGCATTGAACCAAAAATAATATGATTTTTTAAGTTATTCATATATTACTGAACATGTTATCTTTAATTATTATTAATAATTAATAGTTAATAAATCCACTAATTATATAAAAGATTAGAAGTTAACAGACTGAGTTTTTATATCATATAAGACAGTGACTCAAATTAATATGATTTTGTTATCTTATTCCAATTATATATCTGTTTTTCTTTATTTCTTCCCAAATATATCATATACAATATTTATTTATGTTATCTTCAAATTCAAATTAAATTTTGTTTTGCCAAAAATGTCCCTATTCAACATAAGAATTATTCAGACATTTATATTTGCCAAAAGAAATTCTTACACAACAAAAAAAAAACTCTAATCATACTACTAAATATTTTAGAATGTTGAATGTACCTAAAAATATATTTTAGAGTACTAGATGTATTAGCCTTTTTATCTCTGTTTCTTATCATTCTTTATTTTTATTTATATTTAAACACTTGCAATTAGGAAAATAAGGATTCTGAGACTCACCATATAATTAAGAAGTCATGTTCATGTCAGGTATTGACGATTATATTAATTCTTTTTGTACGCCTTCGAGTTCAGGGAAAAGAAACGAACAACCATAAGATCAAAGGATATTATGAGAATTCAAAGAATATATAAATAAATATATTGCAAATTTTCATCTGCTGATTGATAGATAGCAACAACAAAAAAATTAAAAAGAGAGAATGACACCTGGCTCTCTGGAAGATGGTTGTTAAAGACTTTAATCTACTAAATTAGAAAAATATAAAAGTTGCACTTTATTTTATAACGTAAATTGGAAGGTCTAAAGCCATGTGGGAACTGATGTCGGCTATTATTTAACAATATAAAAATACCACGAACCATCAAAATACTTTATTAAAAAATTAAAGTACCTTTTATCAAAAGCAAACTTTAAATTCTACTTCTCTTTTCATTCAAAAAAAAAATCTACTTCTCTTTATATAAATGAAAAATTTTACCTTCATTCATGTTTATTGTATATTTTCATATCTGGCAAAGAAGTATATAATCTACTATGCGATAATGCTATTTTTTATAGGGATAATTAATCTGTAAATCCTTATAATTTTAACTAATTTTGAATTAGGTCCCTGTAGTTTTTTCCTTTTTATCAGGTTCTTATACTCTCACCTGTTTTTAATTAAGTCCTTGTATTTATTTTTCTTTTTATCAAGTCCTTATAAGTTCATCTTATTTTTAATTAAGTCCCTGAATTTTTTATTCTTTATTTTATAAATTCTAATAATACTATTCTATTAACATAAAATAGTATAGATTATTTAATATTAGTTTATAAACAATAATATTCTAAAAATAATGAATTATTATAATAATTTTATTTTTTGCCAACAAGAAAATATTAATTGTTCTAAAAAAATTTCCTGAGTTAATTAATTATATTAATTATATTTCATTATATAATTGTTAATTTAATTTAATTATCAATATTTTATATTCCAGTATTAATCTATTTAATTAATTTTATATTTAATTAATAAATAAAAATTAAAACTATGCGGATCTGAATAAAAATTTAGTGAAATTATAAGGACTTGATAAAAAGAAAAATAAATACAGGGATCTAATTAAAAACAAGTGAAAGTATAAGGACTTGATAAAAAGAAAGAAAACTATAAGGACCTAATTCAAAATTAGTTAAAACTATAAAGACTTGCACATTAATTAATCCTTTTTCATATGATAACTTTTAATTTTTCTACAGTTATGTTTGTGTCCTCACATAACTCATAGGTCTGGCACGTCAAATGTTTATAATTGTTTATATTTTACAGGACCCAAAGAACTTTTTTTTTTTTTTTTACCAGAGACCCAAAGAACGTTAAAATGCAGTGAGATTGCTTGTTTCAACAAACATTCAAGTATGGGCCCATTCGCCACCACTTAGGGCCAGGCGGTGTTAAAAAGTTAAAGAGTAACGATTCTGTTTTAAATATAAAATTTATTTTCGTTCTTACCAAAAAAAATAATAATAAAATAAAATTTATTTTATCGTCATTTTATAATATAATTTATATTACAAAATAAGTATTACCTTGAAGACCAAATAAAGTATTATTTAATTTTACCAATTATATCAAACATTAATTATTTTTTAATGTAATTAATTAGTTTTTAATGTAATCATGAGAGATATTATTTTGTAATTTGGAATTGAGTTGGCATCCCTTGACCACA